GCCTTCAAGATGCCTAAAAATAACCTCTGATTCAGGAAAAAGTATTTTTACCAGAGATAGTGAGGAAAATGGAAAATACCAAATAACATGTAGAAGAAATTAAAATTTTAGTCATGATGTCCCTGTTTCTGTAGATTTGACCTAATATAATTTAAAAAAAAACAATAATGTATATAATATAAATATATTAAATAATAATAATGTAATAATAAAAATGTAATTTAATAATATTTACAAGTTAATGATAAATTAATATTAATACTAAATAACTTATTTAATACAGTAATAATATTAATTAAAATAATATCCACAACTCTATTTAAATCTAAATAAATGATGAATTAGAATTAATACTAAATAAAACTTAATAATAATAAAGTAATAATATTAACAATATAAAATAATATCCATAACTTATACAATATCTAAATTAATGATAAATTAATATTAATACAAAATAAAACCTACATGCAAGGACAAAGTTAGAGATAAACTGTATTATAACAATGTGACTAAATACCTGAAAGCTGTGTCTATTATACTCCATCCAATGTCCCTTGCGGGTATACACCGGATCTGTTTGAATTGTCCGTATGTGGTATCATATAGCCGAATAAATTTGTCTTGACAAGCTGACATGAACACTGTCCCGTCCTTGGAATACGTACCACAAAACACCTTGGACTGAAATGATTTCAATACCTCCATATGGTTTGGTAAAAAACTGTTCGAAATAAAAAAAAATTTACCTACATTTTTCTGAATTATCATTAAAATAATTAAGAATACCAGTATTGTCTGTTTATATTTATATACAAGCATATACTGTACGTGTCTGAATATGTATTAATGTCACTAAACGAAGCTACCATTCCTAAACTACAATGTTATGTGAAAACTAAGCAATGTATTTTGCGAGTAAGCGCCCTCTCACTTATTCACTGAGCCTCCTTTACTTCACTTTTGCACCCCCCCTCACCCCCCACACTTCAAGATTCCTATATATGCCACTGATTGACTGCTATAATACTGAACTGGGCTTCAATGGAAATACTGTAAGCATTCAAACTTTCAAAAAAAAAAAAAAATCAAAAATCAAAAACTTTTATTGTCTAAATTCTATAAAACATACAATTGGAAATTTGTCGTTTGATACACTACGTAAAATAGAAAAAGTTAATAAAAAAAAGTCAACACACAGAAAATACAAAAAAATTGCAAATAAAAGAATCATATTCAATAAAACAAGTTAAAATGTCATAAAAATTTTAAAAGCATTTAAAAAATAAAAGCTACATTTAAAACAATGTGTAAAAATAGATTTTTTTAAATAAAAAATTTAGAATCACCCAAGTTTAAGACACCATCATAGAAAAAAACCAGTTAAAAATTGTAAAATTTTAGAAACTTTTAATTTTTAAAAGGTCCTTTAACGGCTGCAAGGTTTATTAAAAATAACAATTGAACTTGGGACAAACGACTTATTGTATCTAGTTGTTCTTGAGTATATACTCCATAACTGGCATCTAGACCGCAAAAAGTTGTACTCTATGGACAAAGGATGGTTGATGTTTGACATGATTCGTTTAACTAGCACAATCTGATTCATCAAATTTAAAATCGAGATCAGCATAATACAAGATTTTCGTACAAAGCACCCCCTGGTGTACCTTTACAACGAAAAAAATTCATCCAGACGAAATAATTATACCTTGAAATGATTTCACAGCGGTCAGCTTGAGTAAATCCTCCTTGGCTACTATGCATCCTCTGAAATGTAAAATACACAATAACGTTTACAAGTGTAAAGAATATATTAATATGTGCAGTTACCTGAATGAGGCATAAAGAAACAGAAGTTTCATTTACATATCATGTTTTACACATTTAATTGATTTATTTAGGTATAGAAAAATAGAATTAACGGCAGCAAAAGACTAAAATCAGGGGTCCCAAGTTGGAAGAAGTAAATTCCGGGAGCATGCAGGGATGGCGCCAATGTAAAATCAATTTAATAGGACTTAATAGGGGCTTCGCCCCCACGACCACTGGACCCCCTGGATCAAAATATGAATACGCCTCCCATCAGGCACATCGGCCCCCTTGTTGGGGACCTGACTGACGGCCTCGATGCCACCCTTGTTGTGGAGATCTGTAGATTCACAGTAGAGGGAGGCCAGAGAGGGTCTTTCACGGATGTACGGTCATATCACGCAAGAAAATCTATGATTATGGCACCTCTAAATGGCCGGAAGTGGCACTCTTAGACTTAAATTTAATATGACTATTCTTTTTTCTCTATTTTAAAAAATTTGGAATAATTTAGGTTGGGGGGGGAAAGGGGGTCCCCATTGAATCTGCCTCTAATGTGGCTAGTGAACTTTCATACATTTAATTCTGTTTTGCTGCACATTGTGAAACATATTGGCAATGACTTCCTTGAGATAATTGATAATAAAGCCATGGAGACATGCTCATGTTGTGAATTTGCGGGATATGGGTTTATTTTCAGGAGATTCTTGCTTGCTTGCGGGAGCACGGGGGGGGGGGGGGGCTGTCCCGATTTCCTGGAAACTCCCACGAGTTCCAGGAGACTTGGGGCTCCTGTGAAATGGATGTTAGAAATTTGTTTATTGGGAAAAGTTTGAAGTCTGACATGTTTAGAGTTACAATACTAGTAGAACTTAAAAAGAACAATACAAATATAGTGCTGTACAATCATTGTGTTTCACCTTTACAAGCATTTTTGGTATCGGTCTTCTTGCATAAGGTTTCTCATTGTGTTTGCAACAGTTGAAATGGAGAAATTCTTGTTTTAAGTCACTCTCCTATAAGAGATAAAGAAAAAAAAAACAAATCTAGAAATTAGCCAGGATTGCCTTGGACACCAACAGGAGAAGAGGCTGGTTTTGGCCTGGGAAGGAGGTGGGGGGAGGGGGCTTCGGAACGAGAGGGGGTTTGTGGATGGGAAAGCGAAAATTAAGAATGTGGAACTAAATTACTATTTCAATGAAGACTTACTGGTCATTCTTAAGTATTTTAATCCAATTAGTGGAACTATTTCCCACCCAAGGCACGGGGGGTGGGGGGTGTGTGGTGGAACTGATAATGGTACCCCCGCATAATATAATAATCGTGTTTTCCACAGAAAATACCCAAGAAAAAATATAATTATAAATAATGAATGTTTATGATGAGTAAATGTTACTCAGCTTCGCCTAGTTGAATGGTACAGTCAACTCATGGAAATATTCTTCCAATTGCACAAATAAAAAACATTCATTATTTGTTTTATAACACATCTAAAATAGATTATTGTCATTTGATATTTTATGAAAATTAAATTTAGGTATACATTTCTTCCAATCAGTGGTTAAATTTTAACACAAACAACTTACAATTTGGTAATCAACTACCTTTCTTAAGAATGGAACAGTCCATCTTCCTTCAACCAATGACAACATTATATTAGGTGGAGGCTTGCAATAGGATGAAACAAATGGACCAATAAAATACATGGAAAGAACTAAATTTTCAAGATGAGTGACAAAATGGAATATGAAATCCACAAATCAAATGACAAGGATCTATTTAGGTGTGTTTTATAATAACCTAGGATCCCTCCTTTGTGACACCCCTTTTCAGGGGACAGCATATTAGTGGGAATGAGGAGAAATATATCTTTTAACACTATGGCCAACCCCTATTAAGGGGACATTCCTATTAAGGGGGAAAAATTAAGTCAACTTTATATTCTGACAACTTTTAAGCCATACATTTAACATCAAACAATAATTTTCTCCCCTGAATCAGACTGCATGGTTTGCTTTGTATAAACATGCAATCTTGTCCCTTAACCATGGGCATTTGTTTTTCTTTGTTTTTTTAGTGTATTAGTGTTACTCTATCACTAATAGAGTAACGACTTGCATGCTACATGCTTTCAATCAGAAGACTAGTATAAAAAAAAAAGAATATATGGTCATTAACACTGTATCATGAAATAATATTGGGAACATATACAACTACTGTTTTTAATAACATTTCTGCTGACTTCATATAATAAATAAATTGTATTTGCCTTGCTGTTATCGTTGTGGAATGATGTGAGCATGTAGCTAACTATACGCGCCTCCTTACGGCTGCTACGTAGTGGAACCACGCCCATACGCAATTCAGCACATTGACGTCGCTGCTATGAGATGGGTTATTCTACTACCTTGCTATAAATTATTTCTAATTCTACTCATTCTTATGTCAATAAAAATAAAATTATAAAGAATGTATGTCATTGTTGCATAAAAACATGCAAAAACCCATATTAAGTGGACAATTTCACATTTTTTGGTTTAAAGTGTCCCCAAAATAGAGGTCATCTTATTCAGGGTACATAACTATAAGGGGACACCTTTTTTGGTGCTGAATGGATACAGGGGTTCTACTGTATTAAATACCATTGCTATAAAAAAATAAAATTAAAAATTGCTTTTTTTTTTTTTACAGCTCAAAGCCTGTAATGTGAACTTATCCTGTTTCTGACAAGGCGGGTCACCGGTGTATGGCCAATCACTGAAGTGGGTTCCCATAAAATCTGATTTTGAGTAAAGGTAAATTACGTTTAACTTACATCTATTTTGGATGTGTCTGGATTCTGATCAGCTGTAAGAGAAATAAAAAGAAAACAAATTATAAATGGTGGCTCCAAAAATGTGCCTACAGGGGAGTTGGGACCACGGGACCGACTACAACCACGGCCAGGGTCTCACACTAAAATCCATGGTAAGGATCTTGGTAGAGTTTTTATGGCTTATACCCATTCAGACTAGCATCGCATTGCGATTGGTTGTAGCAATTGCGACACTCAATCGCAAAGTAAAATCGTGTGTGAAAGCTCACCAATAGTAGTCAATATGTATCGATATCGCAATTGTTACCCGTTGCGATTGGGCGCTACAATCTTTAATACTCCCGATTACCATGGCATCCGATCGCAACGAATCACAAGTTACACAAGCTCTGTTTGGCTGAGGTCAGTCAACAGGCTTAGCCACAGGAGGCCTAGGCACTAGAATGTAAAGTTTGTTTGTGTTGGTCTGAATGCATTTGTTGATTGCCATTGGGAGTAATCAGTTGTGGATTACCACCGATTACCTTGCAACATATCGTAACAGAGTGTAGTCTGTATAGGGTACTAATATCGTTCAAAATTGTGCATTTAGACCATATTAGGGACTGGGAATCAAAATAACATTTTCTGGATAGGCAAATTAATATTTTTGGACAGACAACCAGGTTTTGTTCGACAGGGAAGGGGATAAATCTCCCCCCGACAACCCCTTCCAGGCTGCCTCAGAACACTAGGGAACTTAAATTAACTAGCAAATTTCAGTTGTCTTTGACAGGCCAGTGTTTAGGATTGGCTTTATCTCCCATCGGCCGTCCCATGGCAAGACAACATATGCTTTTATATTTTTTAAGTTACAGTACATTACATTGTTTTGTCTTGTAATGGCCACCATGAGGTCATGTGCAACAACACAAAGAAAAGAGGGTCTTTTGACATCAGCTTGTGGATAAAGCGTTGTCAAGACTACCAAATTTAATTTGACAAAAACAAGTCAAATATGGTCATGATGACATCATATCGATATTATATAGGCAGATCCTGACTATATATGGGCATTTTTTTTTCAAAGAAAATTTGATAAGCTGGAAAGAGCCTTACTTGCCTGCTTCACACGGTGTTGAACACTGCCCTCTATGGACATTTTTTTAGGAAAACTAGCTCATTAGTCTGCAATCAACTTTAGTTACACAGGGGGAAAACATTATAATTTATTTGTACACTAAAAACCGAATTAATTTCTATAAGCAAAATTATATAACTGCATTACGTTTATTATTTTAAAATAAATATGTTTGAAATATACAATATAGTTATATTATTAGAAAAACAACTGAATAATTTTAATGAAAGTGGATGATTAAAATCCCGGTTTGTGAAAGTCGGGACTGTTTATACTGTGTGTTTTCCGATGTCAGTCGATGGGACTATCCCGGAGAAGCTTCTCTTGAAAACATTCAGCTTCGTTGAGCTCGAGTTCAGCACACTGGAGTCGTTAACTTGCACACATTTACCCCAACTCCAGAAGTAAAAGAGGGTTTACTCCGGAGTCCCACTGATAGTGATAAGGGGAGTTAGTTGGAAACATTATCAGTAGAAGTTCAAGAGGTTTGGCTTTGTGAGTTTACACCAAAATCAAGACCTAAAACTGATAACTTTAGGCCTAAGCTCAAACTTACCATACTGTAGCTAAAACTTTATTATGTGTTCAGTGAACTGAAAGTTCGTCAGAGGGCGACAGAGAATAAATGACAAATGCACCAATGTGGAAGAGAAGAAACAAACGTACACATGATATTACACATGATCTTAGCCAAAAGGTGAGAAACATATTATTGATAAATATGGTATTAAAATATATGTGGGAGTGTGAGGTAAAAAATGACAGAGCACAGACAAAGAGTTAATTCGATCTGTCCACCACTGGACAGCATTGTTGTAGAATCCCACATGGCTCCACACTGATTCCATTGATTTTTTCTTTGTCTAATTTAACAATGTCCTCGATAATAATTCTCTCAATCGATTTAAATTACTGCAGATAACTTTGTGGAGGCTCATTGGACCACACATTTTAATTTTAATCCTCAATCTTTCCATATCGTTGGACAAAGCCTTTAAAAACTAAAAAGACTATTAGTTTCTCACTTGTAAATTACTCCTAGAAAATGTCGGAAAATGCATTTTGTGACATCCTCAAACTAAATTTTCTAGGAACCCTTAGCAGGACCACCACACATTGGCATATCTTTGAGCCCTGAAATGATTGAGGGGGGATGGGGGCTGATGGGGCATGAAGGTGAAGTGGGGGCACTCAATGATTAAGTGAGGGGAACTACAGTAGCTGGCAAAATAAGGTGTTTTTTAACCACTTATACAGGGAGGGGGTGGTGTGTGTGTGTGTGTGTTTTTTGGGGAGTGGCTCCCCACGCACCCTCTAGAAATGCCACTTCCACCACAATCCTATGCCAAAAATGAGCTTTGTTCAGATTTAAATTTGGTAATATCCTCATACTCCGTTAACCCAGCAAGCAAAACTGGAAATTTCCAATAACCAGACTCAAAACTCATAAGTTGTGGTTAGTGTAAATGAATCTGGTTGCCAAACATTCTCAGTTTCATGTGCAGGATGCATTCCGTGTTTAAAAACCTGTGTACACTATGGAGTCGACAGTGTATAAAATACACCAAATTCTATTTCATGTTATACGTCTCATGCGGCGCCATTTGCAGCTAAAGGTCAAGTAAGCCTAACCTATGCTGGGTACTGTCTAGGCACCTTTCAGTTTTACTATTTGTAAACCTATTGTGCTTTACAGACTGAAAACAAAATTGTTGGATGAAATCAACATGAAATCACTTCATTTTTGACCATAATTATGTCAACTTGAGCGACATGACAATCATAATAAAAAATTAACAAAGAGGAAATTGAGGGTAGTATAAACCCGCATTCGCTGCCTACCAGGTGAATGGCTACAGGCTTGTGGTTGTTGTAGTGGGTGTTGGGTGAATGGTGGCAGACTGGTGGTGGTATTTAGTGAATGGTGGCACACTGGTTTTTGGTGATGGGTGATTGGTGGCATGTTGGTGGTGTGTATTAGACGGATAGTGGCAGGTGGGTGGTTAGTGTTTGGTGAATGACAACAGCTTAGTGATGTGTTATTGGTGAATGGTGGCAGTCTGGTGGTGGGTGTTTTAGTAAAATTGTGGCAAGTTTGATGTACAGTAGTAGTGGTGTTGATAAATGGCAGCCAGTTAGTGGTCAGTGTTGGTCCTGGTAATAAGTGTTAGGTAAATGGGGACAGACTGACTGAGTTATTAAGTATGTATATACTCACCTTCGGGAACACATGCTGTAAAAATTGAATCACTATCGGTATCACTTTCAAACTGATTACGAGATGAGGTAAACCGAACAGTCCCACTGAAATATATAATTAAAGATAAAAAGTTTGTGCTAATTAAAAAACCATAGCTCATGCAGATGCACGATCCAGTAAGAAGTATCAACTTCTAATGAAATGCGTCAACGTACCAAACAGTAGTGTCACCAGCGGCCGTCAGGGACAGGGGCGGACTTGAGGGGCTGCCCCCCCCCCTTTTGGAAGGTAATAAAAAGAAAAAAAAAGAAAGAAAGAAAGAAAAAGAAAAAAATGATAGCCCAGAACGCCTCAAATGTTATTTTCGGGTGTCTAGAACACAAAAATTTCGCAGGGACATCCCCAGGACCCCCTAGGACAGTGTTGTCTTGATCGGCCCAAATTTCGCCCCCCCCTTTTCGGCCCCCCCTTTTGGACATCTCTGGATCCGCCCCTGAGGGAGGGCAATTTTCCACGTCAGACAGGCAGGACCTCCACTGTCAAACCAAAAATAATAATTTGCCTATCCAATTAACATAATTTTGATTGCCTATCCCTAATATTGTGTAAAGCACAAATTTGGCCATACTAAGCAATAAAAACTCTCTCTGCGGAAACCAACCCTGCCAGGGTTTTTTATTCCGGGACCATAGTCGACACCTTGGTTTTAGCTGACATGAGGACCTCTGTTAGCAAATTTCTGAAGGTACCACTAGTACCACACAAGACAGAAGAGAGAACACCAATAGTATAGGAAATTACACAAAAATAAAAGAAGGTACGTCTGAACAATGATTTGCTTTAATATTTTATTTTCAGATATAAAAAACTCCCTTAAACATTATCAAAATATGCAGACAGTTTTTTAGGCCTAAATATATGCAGGTCAAATTCAAACCAATCTCAACTTTGGCCAAAGGAAATCGAACCCAATTCATAACGTGGACTAATTAAACAAACTTGGATTTAGAGAAGGCAACTTGCAACACAGCTTGTAGGGTGTCATTCAAAGGTCAGTTTATCTGATTGGTTGTGTCATTAGATTGGTTCAAAGGTCAGGTTATCAGATTGGTTCTGTTGCTTAGTTAATTGGGACCGACTCTGGCAAACCAGGCGCCTATTAACAAAAAATCAACATGCAATGTCCACGTAATGACAACATTTAATGAATGTTGGACTAAAAAAATAAGTTATCATATCTTCCCATTTGTTCTCGGTTATTAGCTTTTGACCTCTAGACAAAGATTTATAATATCATTTTTAATTTTTTTTAAACAAGAACTTGTTTTTGCTAGAGTGGTTCAAAGATTGACATCTACTGTATAAGCTGAGAGTAGAACTTTTAGCAGCCTCGACCTGCGAAGTGTCCCGTCTTTAGTGTGGATATTTTTGATGTAATTTAAATTTGACCGTACAGTGTGAAGACTGTGTGCCCTAAGTGTTTTAATACCCTAGGCTAGGTAGGGTCTGAGCCACTCTAAGCCGTGCTACAGTAGGAGTGATGTGTCATCGCGTAGCCTACCAGAACGTGTGAAGAGCGAGAAGACATCGCGTCTCTAGGCTTAGCTAGAATGTAGGAGCAATGCATGCATATGTTGACAAATTGAAGATAGGCCAACGTGCATAAATCAGGAAAACTTTTTGCTTTATTCAATTTACAGTAGCATAACTCCTGTAAATATTCAACCAATATTTGTCATCTAAACAGTACATTACTCACATCTTGAATCAATGTGTTCTTTCCATGGAATTAATGTGAAACTATATTTAAAGTCAATTAAAGGACATAATTTTGTGTGTGCTCCTAGCTACTTTTGGGATTTAAAAAGTATTGTGTATAGTAAAAGTAGGCCTAGGGCCTGCGGCCTACCTAGCCTACTTATAAATATAGTCATACATAGGCCTAGGCTAGGCTAAAGTAGAGGCTTAAAGAAATAATGACAGGCAGGCAAGTGTAATCATAAAACTGAAATAGCTAGCTTAGCTAGGCCTAGGGCCTAACTTGCCTAGGCCCTTAGGTATAGATAGTGAAATGGCCCTCCTGATTGATGATGCTGATGAAAGAAAAGGACTCATTGGATTGGTAACTAGCCTATGTGTTAAAAACAGACCGTCTGATCTGGGTGGTTAACATCAGAGATGCAGGCCTTGCTAAAGCAGGTCAGATTTCCATCTACAACAGGTCTGGGCCTAGGCCTAGGCTAGGCCAAAAAAATACCCAGGCCTAGGAAAGGGCCTATAATAGAAATTAGGCTAGCGTAATGGCTCACCTGCGGAGCAAATACGCCAGCACTGCAGCGTAATCTTGGTAATCATCATCAGAGTCGTCATTGCCATGAAATGTTCCTTCGTTCACATCCTCTGGATCCCTTTCACGACCACTTGTGTGACGTGAGCCCATCTTAAATATAAAATAAGGCAGTATGTAGTATTATTATTATTTGAAAAATGGGCTAGGTAGTCTAGGCTTAGGTCAACCCTCTGCCTCGCATTAAAACTTCAATGTTTATTATTGACGTTCAATCATGCGCATCAACGCCCGCAATTAACTCGAGCGTGTGCCAAAACAAATTTTTTTTTTTCTGTACGAAACATTTGCATTTTTTGTTTGTTAAATTTTACCCCCTTTTTTTTTGTTTGTACGAACGCACTAATTGATACTGAGTGCCACCGATTCAAAGGTGTATGTTCAAATAAATAAATGAAACTCCACTCGGACTGTCTCGGATTGACTCGACTCGAGTTGGATACGAAAAAGAGCAGGCACAATATTGTGACGCTCGAGTACTCTATTACCTTACTGTCACTGTTTAGCTACGGTAGGCCTATTAAAGCTTACCGATTTATGGGATGTATGTCTGTAACTACAGTAGAACCCATATTAACAGGGACACCTTCGAGACCAAAAAAAGTGTCCCCTTAATAGCTTTGTCCCCTGAATAGGGGTACCCCGATTTAGGGGACACTAACCAAAAACGTGAATCTCCCCTTAGGAGTTTTTGGCATGATGTTTTCATATAAAGATGACACATGTTACGTCAATCCTTTTATAATTTTATCTTTATATGACATAATTATTTACAGTAGAATTAGAACTAAGCCTAATTTATGCAATAATTTGCAATATGCAAATACAATTTATTTATATGAAATGAAATAAGCAAATACAGGATTTAACAAAAGGGGAGGCGCCAAAGTAAAGATGGACGACCAGCGAAAACGAAGACAAACGAAGCACCGATGGCATAGGCGGATGCAGCCTGCCAGAAAAAAAAAAAGGGGGGGGGGTGTAAAGTCTGCGAGTGAAGCGAGCAGCCTTAGGCTGGAGGCCAGGGGGTCGCCTAGGGCCCTCGGCGGGGCCGAGGGGCAAAGCCCCTGGTGGGGGTCGAAGGGGGCGAAGCCCCTTGAAGCCCAGCACATTTGAGGAATATGAGGTTGTATTGAGTCAATTTTGACTATCTAGCATGGTAGTTTTCAGTAACAAATACATTTTAAAAAATAGGTATATGTCTTTTAAAAGAAATTTTACACAGGGTACCTGCAATATGCAACTATGACATATGTGTCATTAAATTAGTAATAATTCATCTACTCACAACATACAGTAGGCCTAATCTTTGACAACATGCAAAGGCTCATAAATGTACACCATTTCAAAAGAGAAATTTCACTTCTAGAAAACATGATGAAGTTTTTTCAGCAACATTGAACATAAAAATCACAAAATCGGCAAAAAGGAAATATCCACAATCCGTTAAAAAAGTCGTCAAACAACAAAATCCGCTACTGTATATTAACATGGAGTAAATTACAAGTGTTCTATTTCTCACCAAGTGGATTTATGAAAAGCACTCTTCTAGGGTGTTTTTGGTAGGAAACGAAGACTTAAAACACTGTGGGTGTAATTTTTTTTTTGCAAAAAAATAGAGGCGGGGGGACCCCCACCCAAATCCGCCACTGGAAATAGGCCTATAGCCCCTAGGTTTAGGTAGGCCTACTTTGTTTCATGTCAATTAGAGACAACAGGATTATACAATTTCATGCAGTATATCTCTTAACAGGCCGCGCTGGCCTAGTTATTATTAGCCTGAGCCGTGGTGAGATCTCATATAATAACCTTTATACTTTTTGCCCCATCTCACTGTTTTTCTAATAAGTTATATAATCCTAATCGACCTATGCTTTTTAGCATAGGCATGTTGTCCTTTTTTATATTGTGTTTAATATTAATTATATTTTGATTATTTTTGATTATTTTAACTATATAAATGTTTTTCCTTTTGCTATCAATGATGAAGTCTTGTGCTTATTTCCTAGCTCCAATGTGTTGAGGGTTTCCTTAATATTATTACAATAGTTGACGAAAGATTCTGAAAATGAGTATTTGGTCAATGAAAATTACACTCTGACTCCTCCTGATTTTTCAAAAAGGTTTTCTGACTTGATATCAACCTCCTTATCAGTCTTAAATGTAAATATTAGATCAATTATTAAAAACTTTTATAATTTCACGCAAGTTTGTGACATTCTTGGCAAATTCAAGATTATTGGTAATTAACTGAAATTTGGGATGTAAAAGCCCCTATTTATATAACTTAGGATCTTACTCCTTTGAATATAAATGTAGAGATGCTGGTAGGAGTGGAGGAGCTGGAATTTATATTCATTCTTCTTTTAATTATACATTACTAGATTATACAATTGCTCACACGGAGTCAATTTGGGTTTTGTTGTGGGTGTTATTTATAGAAAAAAATAACACTAGCTTTTCAGAATTTCATGACAGCATATTAGATGTCCTTAATCAGATTAAGGTGGATAAAAATGAATGCATTCTTTTAGGGGATTTCAATTTGGATATTTTGGAAGCTTCAAGTAATATTGAATTATATCTTACAAATCTTAATTGTTTTAATATCCAATTACTAATTAACACGCCATCTAGAATTGATAGAAAATTCTGTACATTAATTGATCATATCTATTCTAACATTTTTAGTAATACTATAATAATACTATAACTACTTCAATAATATGCGATATATCCGATCATTACCCCGTTTTTTCAATTTTTGAACAAATAAAAATCAACGATAAAAAAGAACATATTTTTATTAGAGATTACAGTCACTTTTATTTGAATAATTTACAGTTTGACTTGTCTCAGGTCTTGTGGGATGATGTTATTTGTTGTAATGATGCATATGACAAGTTTAATAATATTTTTACCGAAATATGTAATAGTCATGCACCACTTGTCAGACGAACAATAAAAAGTTTTGAAGAGAAAAACCCTGGATTACCAAAGGTATAAAAAAGTCAATTAGGAAAAAGCATAAGCTATTTTCCAAAGTTGTTATTTTGACCAATTGCTCCTTTCTGATTTTAAACGATATAAAAATCTTCTGACAAAATTAATTCGAAATTCAAAACGTTGCTTTTATCACAATCTTCTTTCAAAAAATAACAATTCTAACAAAATTTGGCAAACAATTAATACTATACTTAGTCGTAAATCTAAACCCAACGTACTACCCGATAATATGACCGTGAATCCGATGAAAGAAATATTAATATTACCGGTAGTTTATCCATGGCAAACGAGTTTAATAAATATTTTACGAACATTGGCCCTAAATTTAGCAAATAAAATTACAAGTACATCAACTGATTTTTCCGATTTCCTAGGTCAACCATGCCTTAACCCATTCTTTTTAGAACCTGTTTTACCTGAGGAAATATACAATTTTACACGACTGACAATAATAATAACAATAATAATAATAATAATAATAATAATAATAATAATAATAATAATAATAATAATAATAATAATAATAATAATGTAATATCGTTTTTCCAAGTGTTTTAGAATGGATGTACAGAGTTGCTGTACGCATCAGTTACTGACTCCTAATAAACTATCGTTAGACAAAACACTGTGCTCGTTCTCACAAATTTTCATCGGTTTTCCTATATGAAAACTATCAGTGAGTATTACCGTATTCTAGTCAATATAGAGAGTATACATAAAATATTATTATGTTGTCTATTATTGACATGTTTATAGTCATATCATTTTTTAATTGCATTAAAATCACTTCATATTTTATTGATTCCTTATTTTGAAGGGAAAATTGTCGGTTGGGTGATCTAAAACAATAAGATACACATGTTTCAATGCTTTAGAATAGATGCTGTTACTGATTGTAGCCACACATTAAGTACTGCTTTCGCCCTACTACCAAAATACCAATCAACCTCCTACCATTGCGGTATAAATTCCTACTACTTAGTATGCACTGTATACACATCGACGTTTGATGCATACTATTTCGATGTCTGTAGTCTGTAAACAAACTGCACTAAACCCGATAGTCTTTTGAATGGAATTCCTATAATCATAGATCCTATATACAAATAGGATCTGTGTTATAATAAAAGACCAGCACTAAATGTGTGGTTTTTTTTTTCACTTAGAGAAAAATTAAATAAACACGGTAACACATTAACTGTTTTAGAATGGATGTACTGCATTTAGCGCATGTTGTTATTTATTATTAATATACGTATTTATTCGAATAAACCCCCGGCCCCGGACCGTTTATTGTTTAGAAGGGTCTTTGAGTTGTCATAACAACATTTAGGGAAAACATGCATTAAAAACATCACTATTTATTTTCTAGTAGTCTTTAATTAGAAGGAAAATTTTCAGTTGGGTCTGACAAAACTCACAGTCTTTGGAGTCTTTAATTGGAGGGAACAGCTAATGATAAAAGATACGCATTCATATGGGACCGCAGAAAAGTGGTCTTTAATTGGAGGTTATCCGAAAGTACTGTGATAAATCTTGATAAATCTTTGTTATAAAAAGGTTTTCTACATCTAAAGAAATTGCATGCAGAGACACTATGTTGGAGTACTCTGGCGCACAGCTGTGGTTATTGTTGATTAAAATTAAGTTATTGTTGATGAAAGTTAACAATGGATATGATATCAGTGATTGTGAAAAACTGCCCTAACCGGGAAATGAACCCATGATCATCTGCTATCTCTGAAGACGCCTTCAGCATCTGGACCACTGGGGCATTTTTGGAATTCGAATCAGATTAGAATCAACTCAGATTTAGCTTCCCTTTGCACATACACAGTTGAACAACAGCTGAGTCCTTGATGCACTATAAAAACAGAGACCGGCCTGCACTCTCATAAGCATTTTAATATACAGTATAATTTCACTTTCTCTACACTGCTCCTTAGATATATAACATTATTTATAGACACGATTCTAAAATCGAATGAATACTCAGAATTCACGAATTTTCGTGGCGCTCAGGAGCTACAGAGGGTTCTGGGTGGCCCCTGGGCCGTGTCCACTTACGCTGTAGATCTCGTCTTTGTCAACTAGGATATGTGCTTTTATGTTTCCCTGATCACGGGATTCCTTTTGTTTTTGTTATTTTTTTAGTTTTTTAAATGAAAATACAAAAAAAAAAAAAAATTAGGTTGCTGTTTGGAACATTGCTCCCACCCCAAAGGGGCGTGCCTCAGCGTGCCTCGAGTCCAGTGGCGTATCTAGGGGCACGGGGGTGGGCGTACTCCCTTCCAAAAATTACTCCCCCCAATCCGACCCCAAATCACGGTCAAGTAGTTAAAAATCACATAAAATCCCATTATTTTGCGAATTAACACCCCTCAACTGATCATCGAGCCCCCTCCCCCACTTCACCTTCGCTCCCCCAACTACACGCCAATTTCAAGCCTTCTAAATACGCCACTGCTCAAGTCAAAAAGTCACTGCATATAACTGATTCCCCAGATAGCGCCCCTAACTTTCTCATCTCCCCAACCCTGTGCGAATTCTTAGATACACAACTAGTATAGTTATAGGGCTACAACTAACATTCCAGTTTTAATACCCAAATAATCAGTCTATTGTTACTGTAATTCGTTTTGCAACGAAGAATTGCACCACGAAAATTCACACAGGGATTAAAGCGAGAAATCAATTTAATATGCGCCAAAGATCAATCCTATAACTAGTCGATCTATATTCATATCACTCGGATTATCCGACAATTATTTTTATGTCGATTTTTATGTCGCTTTCCAATATCCGAACAAATCCATGTACAAAGCCGGAAACTATTCAAAAAATAGTGTCAACCAAACGCTTTAATATTATTTGTTCAGACATTTCTCATCCACAAGGTTTCTGGTGCGTACCTACACACATCTATCTATGCAACAGCAGATAAACATGAATCAGTTTGTCGGCTTGTGTTTGCTTGGTTTTCTCGCTACGAGCTTAGCGTGTCAAGATGGATGGCAATCTTATAACGGACATTGTTACAAGTTATTCCCAAGTAATACTCGAAATTCCGCCGCAACTGGCTGTCACAACGTAAGTTTTGTTGTGTTTTATTATTTTTTTTACAAGCTCGAACACTAGATTTTCCCGCCAGTGTTTATTGTAATATGTGGGAGTTTGATGAATGGGGAAGATGGATGCACTGAGGGCCACCCAGCTAGAGGAATAGATTGTATCGCAATAGCACAGAATGCAACTGCATTCAATAATTTTTGCAACTGAATTATTGCTAAATAGTTCAATTGAGATAAGATTTTAAGAATTCCACCACAAAATTTAGGAAAGCCTAAAAATTTTATAAAACGGAAGCTGGGTTGCTCTACATCACACTATTGAATGTTGTGGTGATGATGGTGTGAAGATTAAACGTCTTTCTCTTAAAGACATTTATGTCAGATTTTAACATATGTTTTCTGTAATTTAAACACATATTTTGATATTAGGAGGGAGCTTATCTAGCTTGTGTTGAAGACCAAGCAGAAAATCAGTTCATAAGTGGCGTTGCAAATAATAACAGAGCGTTCCTGGGACACACAGACCAGGGAACTGAAGGTGTATGGAGATGTGCGGAGGTGCCCACAATGGGATCAGTATGGTGGCGCGGAGAGCCTAACAATTGCTGTGGCGGAGAGGATTGTGCGGAGATAAACTTCGGAGGGAGAAGTTACTGGAATGACGTTCGATGTACTGCCCGATTTCCATCTGTATGTGAGAAGGAAGGACCTTGTGAAGATGGTTGGAATGAACACGAAGGTCGCTGTTATCGTAAATTCCAATCTGCTTTGAATTTTGATGAGGCTGAGAACAACTGTGTTAATGTAAGTACAATAGAGTGCTACAGTGTTACGTCACGATACTACCTACTCCGTTGCTATCGTTGCAAAATGCGTTCAGTTTACCCACTGACGAAACATTGATCCCAATTTCTAACGTAATTATTAAGATGGTGTATCTTAGGTTTTCTTTGTAGATTTTAATTGATTATTAAATGTGTGTTCGATCACTAATATAATGCGAGCTTTTGTGTTTTTAGTACATTGTGATGGTAAAGTATTAGATTTTAAGACGCTTATTCCAGAAAGCCTACAGGCATTCCGGCGTAATGAAGGTGACCAACGTCTGGTTGGCAACAGGGCGCTACATAGCGTTGTGACAACACGACTGTGGTACTCTAGGCCTATAATTGTCCAATTTTTCATTTGCATCTGTAAAGTGCCATAATATTTAAATCCATTATTATTCCATATCTATTGGGAAAGTCTTGGCAATTTGAACTCGTTATTTTAATTTGTTAATATTTTCTGTTCATTTTGTATAATGTATATTAATACACAAATCCAAACGGCAGCCTTCATCCTTCAATACTTCATCATTGAAGTATTATTAAGCGTTGTAATACAAAATGTAAAAATTACAATAGGCATGGACAAAACATTAAAACTAGTAGAATGGGAGCATACAAATACAAAATAGTAAAAATAATTAAAACATCTAAAAGAAAAAATATATTACTCACAAACCACAAACACCACAATAAAGTCGAAAAAAAAGGAGCAAAGAAAACAGAATGGTTTTCAGACGTACTGAGCATTCAGTACATTTCCACGTCAGGTAGGGCAAAATTACACCTATACTTGATTATCCAGACGCAAATCAATTTATTATCTATTCCATCACGACAATGACAATTACAATGACAATTATTAAAAAATAAGGTCTACAATATTTATAATTTTGTAGATAAGCATAATTATTATTTATTTTAAAATAGAGTCTATGGTGTTCAACCCTACCCTCTCATAATTTCTACTACAGACTTGCTTGTCGGCGTTACATAATGTCTCATGGTACTCGAGCCTTGAATATTGCGTGAAAAATAGACGTGCGAGTCGAGTGGCTGAGCGGTAAGGCAGGGGGAGCCGCTAGCTACAGCCTTAAAGTCGGTGCTGGTTCAAGGCGCTACTACCCATGGTTCGGTTGGTAGAACCAAGTCTTCTCGGATAAGGACTTTAAAGGAGTCCAGTACTGTATCCATCTGGCCCGTGTGCACTTTAAAGAAATTTTCGGAAGAGTAGGGTATTACCCCGATGTTACGGCTCATTTCAGCCCCTGTCGTTGTGGAATGATGTGAACTAGGGGCGAATTTAGGGAGGGGACGAATTTAGGGAGGGCCCCTGTCCCCCCTTTTAGGAGGTAAAAAAAAGAAAAAAGAAAGAAAGAAAAAGAAAAAAATGATAGTCCAAAACGCCTTAAATGTTATTTTCGGGCGTTGAGAACGTTGTCCGATGTCTCCGTCAAAAGCAAAGTACGCATGGTCAGGCTTCGCCTAACAATTTTGTAATTGTAATTTTTGGAATTGGTCCTGGTGAAGGTGGCGAAGCCCCAAAAAATGTTGGGTGAGTTGAAACTAAAAGCAGTAGACACCACTTCGTTAGAATTATTTAAAAAAAAAATGCTTATTTAGGCCTAATTCTAAATCGCCTTGTATTAGCAAGATGCACATCAAAAGAAAGTAAATAACAAAATTATTTATTAGATAGCTTGTGGTTTGTAACACCTATTGCCATGTGATGGATATTTAGAGTCTCTATAAACTAATTTTGATAAAATCTTGAATAAACTAACACTAGGGTGTTTATAAACTTACATGAAGATATTTATTGGAAAATAACAATGAAAGAGGCCAGGCCTATTACAAGCTAATAGTAAATAATTGTTAGTTCCGCTTAAAATATAATTAAGATAGTTTAATCAGAGATGCAAAAACATTTTATATGAGGCAGCCTATTTTTTTTATCTATATTGATTTATATTTAGATTATAACAAATATATTTTAATTGAGTAATATTTTATGATGTTGGGTATGAAATACCACGGAAGAGAAGGATGGGACATTTTGAGCTAAAATATTCTTTTTTAGATTTTTGTATTATTATACCCAGAAGGGCATTCTAAATATATATCAATATCATATGAAAGTTTTTAAACACATTTCATCATTTAGAACGGCTGATGCAAAAACACGCTTTACTTATTTCTGAAAACTATCTAATGTCCGTGACTTTATAAACACAAGATAGTGTTCTCCGCGATTTACGCGTGCAAATTCTGTAATAAGGCATGAATGGTGCCCTCTTGCTAAATTGGAAACTTTTGACCCTTGACCGCTCTGACCATACCGTACACCGCGCGACTTTACCTTGGGTGTATCAATCCTGTGAACAGCAGAACAGGAACCATCTCAGATACATGGCACTGATAGGACGCCCTTTTCCAAAACTGATTACTTTTTCTCTTTGGTATAATAGCGCATGAATGGCGCCCTCTTGCTTAATTGGAAACCTTTGAACCTTGACCGACGCTTCTATTTGTTACGCGTAAATCGCGTGTTTATAAGAGGTGGTCTTATGCTTATACCTTTATACCACTAGCATTTTCTATTCAACTTAATAAACTTTTATACAGTACATGATACATAAATTCCAATACAGTGCACCCTCCAATTCGAGACCCTATAATTCGAGACCACTTTTCCAAAGACCCAAATAACAATCTTCAACATTTTAACACAAAGCTAGCCCTCTAGTTGGAGACCAACCCAAAACCACCCTAAATTTTCAGGTCCCAAAAAGGTGGTCTTGAATTGGAGGGCGAACTGCAGTTTATTCTATGAGTAATTATATTTGTAAATAGTTCATCAACTTATGTAAAACAATAGAATAAAGTTAATGATATATATATATATATATATATATATATATATATATATACATATATATATTTACATATATATAAACATAGCTTTGCAATATGCTAATTAGTCAGCAAAGTATTTCACTAAATAATCTTCTTAAAAATATTACCAAGTATAATTTATTATACAGTAAACACTAACTTATTTTGTATAATAAGGCTATCAAATTTAAACAAATATGAACTTAAAACTATTAGGCCTTACCATTTCAGTATAGACGAATCCAAGAGAACTTTTTTGAACGTCGCCCTCTTTTGTCAACGCCATTATTAGGGTAGCATTTCCGAAGTCGGAAGACGTCAAAATACTCGAAATATACATAACTTTGATAAATTTTTAGTTTGAAATCTGACGGCATTAATTCAACTGCAAAATAAAAAGCAGGATTTCTCAATGGTACTGTGTTTATAACCACACTGCATTAGGAGTAGGCCTATAGATGTAGGGACTCTTCAGTAATGGTGTCGACATGGAGGGCGCCATTCTTCTAGGATTCGTCTATAACCAGGACACTTGAGTGAATCATGCTCATTTGGAATGTAATTTTCATATTTATTTATATACATTTTTATGCATAATTTGAATATACCAGAATCCCAGATTATTCAGATACAATTTATGGCAGTATTCCTTTTAACTTTGAAATCACATTTAAGCAATGTTTTTATGGTATTGAGAAACAAAAGACCATTACTCTTTTTTTGGTAATAAAAGTAAACATTCGTTCTCCTCAACAGCATGGGGGTCACCTTGCCTGTATCGACAGCGATAATGAAAATAGTTACGTTGCCGATTTAGCCGGAGGTAGGGCTTGGATTGGTCATAATGACAGGAATCATGAGCGTGTTTGGATGTGCACTGGCGAAGACGGAAACTCACCTTCTCCCTGGCGTGCAGCGTCCAACGAACCTAACAACTGTTGTGGCGGTGAACATTGTGCCGAAACTAACTTCGGTGGAACAGCATTATGGAATGATTTAAGTTGCGGTGGTAGTCTGCCATATGTATGTGAAAAACAGGATGAGCAGGAACAAACATCACTGATGAATTGTGACGAGGGCTGGACTCTGCATAATGGTAACTGTTACAAGCAATTCCCGGGGCGTACATTCGAGAATGCCTTCAATTTGTGCAGAGAGGTACGGTAAAACAAATTGGTATACAGTATTTATATATTTAGTCACTGAAACAGGTAGTCATTTATTTTATGTCTATTATCTATCTGACATTATGTAAATATTGTAAAGATCGGAAAGCTGGAGTTAATATATAAATACGTGTGTATCGTAATAATTGCCTTCTTAAACAAACATGCGATGGGATTTATATTGTAATCGGTGTGCAGATGTTGGCTTATTCTTTCTAAAGGAGGGCACCATGGTGTAGAAACCATAATCACAATTTGCAGTGGAAATTATACCAGAGCCTGAATACATAAAATAAAGGAGAGCGACAACCTTGCGGCCTTGCCATAAAAATATGATCCCTGATTACCAAAGTCTCATCCACTTTATCTTATTTTAGTGTAATTTTTATTTGATTTTTCAGCTTTTAGTTATGCCGATGAGCAGCCAAAACTGGATATACGTATATTATAAATACATGCAATGTTATCAAAATATATAGTAATAAAAAGTCTTGTTCTTTTATTTTCTTCTGATCGTCACAGGAAGACGCAAGTATAGTCTGCATTGATAATCCAGAAGAAAATACTTTCATTGCTGACTTAACCAACGGTGAAAGAGCATTTATTGGCACTGTAGATACTGGCTCTGAGGGGATTTGGCACTGTGCAAGACAAAATTCCGGTAGGTTTGAGGGAGAAATATGGTGGAGAGGTGAACCAAACAACTGTTGCGGCGGTGAGAACTGTGCAGAAATCAACTTTGGGAGTCGTGGAAGGTGGAATGATTGCGGCTGTCACGCACGTTTAGGATACGTGTGTGAAAAAAGTGGTCCTAATTGCGACAGTGGCTGGGACGAATACAATGGTAACTGCTACCAGCATAGCAGTTCGGGAACGAATTGGCAGGATGCTATGGCAACATGCCAGCGTGTAAGTTAGTCATAATGTAGTTTAGTTCCTCATTCCCATGTCTATCAACATACCCTTGATTTTTTCAATATCTCCAAATTGAACCCAGCAAACATAAAACGTTCTTATAGCGTTCGCGAATGTTGTGGTTAGGTATGTCACAAAATTAAACAGGGAGGGTGGGGGGTTCGGCCCGGTCCCATTATTTTTTCCCATACAGTAGGGGAAGAAATTTACGTAGTAAGTACGTATTTTAAGACTGCACCGTTATTACAGTGTTCGTATTTGACAGAAATACCATCGGGTCCATTGGCGGAGTTATTATTTACATTATTTATATATTTATAACATTATGAATTGTAAAATAAACTGAACTGGACAGAACTTCCTTCACGCTGTTATAATTTTTAGACCTCAGCTTCCGTAATTAGATCGGACGTTGCATTATTTTTAACAAACTTATTATAAGTCAGTGCGATTAGAGTTGCTAATGGACTTATAATTGGTTATATAATATATATATATATATATATATATATATATATACAATACCATATATATATATATATATGTATATATAAACTAAATGAATATATCAATTATTTGGTCAGGCATCGACGGACCAATGAATGAATCAATAAACCTATATTTATTTATCTATCCTACCATCATTCTATCCATACATAGACACATCTGTCTGTATGTGTGTGCCTGTCGTTGTGTCTGCCTGTCTAATACTATTATTATTAAGTTTATTTGTGTTACTTAGATAAAAGTAAGAGAAAATTTTCTAAAACAAATTTCTCTTATTTAGTTGAATGCATATTTGGTTTGTATTGGAGACAATGCAGAGAACACCTTTGTTGCAAATCTCGCCAACGGAGGACGGGCCTGGATTGGTTCAACAGATGCGGGTCATGAAGGGGCGTGGATGTGTACGGGAGAGAATGGAAATGAATCTCCCTGGTGGAATGGTGAGCCTAACGACTGGGGTTCTGGTGAAGATTGTGCTGAAACCAATTTCCATCAAAGAGGCAGATGGAATGATATTAGATGTTCTGCCTCATTCCCATTCGTTTGCGAGAAATCTGCTTATACTCCAGTCCTACCTTGTGATTTCCTCACAAACTTTTTCACACACTGTGTAACAGACTCGCGAGACGAATGCGCGGCCCTTGTTACAGCAATGGCCAGCCTTGAAGACGGTTGCGATGCAAATCGCGAATTCTTGGGTGGTATGACAGGACATTGCGCCGTTCAAAATAATTAACACCAACCCACAATTTATTTCATATTATTGAATATTTCATTATTAAAGATACATTTTGGTTTTCTTCTTATTGGGTGCTGGGTGCAGATAATGTGTTAACGAAATATAATAGGCCTTCAGTTCAATTAATATGAAGGACATAAGCTAGCCACCAGTCCGAAAAAATGAAACATCATAATTATCAACACCTTCCTGAATTAATAATGTCTTTAAAACGGTCTGTTCGTAAGAAAACACTAATATAAGGCCAAACCATGAGTTTTTTCCTGCAGAATATGTAAGCTACGAATAAATTGCTTCAGTTAAAATACAATCGCACTTTCTACTAGCTTATTCTCTTTTATGCTTTTAATCATGAATAAATGGGTAAATGGTATCGCAAGAATTTGCAAGCCTTTGTACACTGTCTCCTATTCTGTTGCAATTACTCATCTACCTCAACTTACGAAAGTTACTAACAAACGTAAATAATACTGACTTTTAAGCTGGTTTTCCAGTAGGCGAGTTTATTCGCGCGAATGGAATGCGTCGGTTCGCTCTCTGAGCTCTGATTGGTTGCGCTTTTTTTTCGCTTCGCAAAAAGTAGAAACAGTTCGAACTGCCGATTTCGTTGAAGCGAAAACTCCGATAAAAGCGTAAATGCGCGTGCGCATGAACCGACGCTTTCGATTCGTGCGAATAAATTCGCCTTGTGGAAAACTGGCTTTAGAGAATGCGGTACTAAGTCACGTCCTCACACTGGAACGTGGGCTCTTACAATTCCATGTTTCAAAGTGATTTTGCTTGAAATACGCATTTTGCAGAAACACATGCGTGATGATAAATTTGTCACGCGTTTAGCACAGGTCTATGCGTGATAACGAATTACCGCGAATTCAGGGGAAATGCATTTAAAATTAGAAGAAATTAGAAATATAAAAACGGTCATTCTGTAGCCAGGAGTCATTAGACAGTATTTACGTAAATACTTAATTCACTGACGCATTACTAAAAATGGTCACTATGCCTATTCATATTTTGTTCGGGTGCTCAAATTAAACACATTAACTCAAATTGTAAATGACTTTATTAAAATATTGTTGTTTATGTACCGTACCTGGTATTGTCAACAAACTGTCCCTGAAATCGTTTTAGAACAGCTTAAAAATGCTCAGATTGTCAGAGCGCCATGGGCCCCTGGACAGTGGAGCTGGGTGCGGGAGGGGGACGCACGCCCCTTCAAAAATTACTTTCCCCCCCCCCCCCCACCCCACCAGGCGCTCCCCAAAATTTCATGTCCCATAAAATCACCTTATTTTGTTAGTTAGTGCTCCCTCAACTGATCATCGAGTCCCGTCCCCCACTGAAACTGAAACTGGTGTAGTCACGCATTTTAAATCTCTCAAGGTGGTAGCTATGCCAATGTTCATTGCCAGACAAGTTAAGAAAAGAGTCTGCTAAATCATGACATAAGGATTTGGACGGGGATTAATTGGGAGATTATCAATATTATCAAAAGCCACTTTCATATACACAATATTGCGGGAATCTTTCCGGCATTGTCTCAGATCTGTAACATTACCGCAACACTGCCGTTACTGCTGTGCGTTCCGGTTGTGTGTCTGAAACGAAAGCGCTCACATTCCCACAATATTACTCCTTAGGCGAGACTTTATACATAGTTTAGCAGACCCTCCGATCATGGAGGCATGCTCCGATCGCCAATAAAGACGATTTCGACTAAATAATAAAATTTTATTTTTGTCAAGTAAGTGCCCTCTGTTCAACCGAAATCTCTAATATTAAGATATTTCTTCCTTAGGCCTAATTACCGTATAGGCCTATATAAAGAAAGAGAATCTGATCTAGACTTACACAGTTTACATTCATCAATACTTACTATAAGCCTTACCATTATGGTTTTTTAGGCCTGCTGTACCTTGCATTTAGCGCAATTCATTTAGTGCGATTTTCTAGAAACAATAACCATAAATGGAACTTCTGAATGGGCGAACAATTTCAACTCGCTTACCAATAGATAACTATAGCTAGAAATGACGACGAGATTCAGAAAATGAAATAATAAAAAGGTAGAAAACATAATACAAAGGAAAGTTGTCTAAAAGAAGATAAAGTTTTATACCTCCATGGTATTACTTAAGCAAAATTTACTTTACCGTTTGATCCAAAGCCATTTCGTATCATAGAAAAACGAGAGCATCAATGATGCAATAGCCCACTTGACAATAGCTGGCAATGTTTAAGTGCTGTCGGTGGGTGGAGGTTGTGTGGAGTGTTGTTATGTGTATTGAGCATAAAGAAAAACATTTAAAGTTAGAGTTAGTTGTATGCATCATCATAGACCTTTTTTTGTTATGTTCACTTAACAATTAGGAAAGGTGTGATGTCGTGTACAGTGATATTAATGAAAATATGGTTGTTGTAAGGTTTGTTGTGTACGTAACTTTTTGAAATATTTTGTACTGTTATGAAGATATTTATGTAGAGGTTTATGATATAAGTAGACAGTTTGGTGAGTGAATGCTGGGTTCACTCTAACTTTCATTTTTGTTTAGCCAATTGACTAAAGCTAAAAAAAAAAATTAGCCAATTGGATATTTGTTTAGCCAAAATTGGCTAAAATGTTAAAAATTGTTTTAGCAACTTATCATGCACTTAAATGGCCCGAGTGAAGCTTCATGCAAATGTTTAGTACGGAAAAAAAATCGTGGCCTGGCCATCGACATTGAAATCATTCAAGCATTCAAGTAAAAACCCCCAAGCTCGAAAGCCATTATTTACCCGGCAGTCGGCTGCTTTAGTTCTGCTGTTGTGTGTGCACTTGGGCATTTGGGGCACGCTCACAGCTAGCCGACCGTCGTGAACATAGAAATTACAGTACAGACAGGAATTACAGTACTGCTTCGTATCTGCGCGTAACCTCTCGTAATCTGCTCGTAGGTTATGTTTTGAACGTAGCTCCGAACCACTACGAAGGTCATTGTTATATTAATTAGCTTTGCAAACTTCGTAGGCTGGATCGTCGGGCTGATAAACAATGCGTAAACAATATTGAAATATAGTTTACCAGCTTTCAGCACGTGAACAATGTTGCAGTTTACTAATAAACAATGTTAGAACTTATTGTTTTGTTATTTCCTACCTTATTATTAGATCGGTCATGTTTTAAAACTGTGTTTAGTTCGATAGCTAGGTAAACATAGTGGGCCGTCAGTATGTTCGAATTTCGATGTCATAGAGGAGGACAGCAGACAGTAATTTATACTGGTTAACTTTCCAATTCGGAGAATTTTGATCTGATATTGTTCTGGTAGTAGGACCTGATGACTGATGACAAATCATGTACAAATTATTACGATTTCTACTTAAGATCACGTTGTTTATTGTTTACCGTAATTTGAGGCAGAACCTGCTAAGCGATCCAATACTAATGAACTACAGAAATCACTACTTTGCCGAAGTAAGGCTAGTCATGCTAGACCGCATTTTCTTCGTCTTTTACCCACTGTCCCTCACACATTTTCAACATTTACCATGAGGTTACCCTTTAACACACTTTACTGTGTTCTGATTGGCGCGCACTCTGTCCGATGATGGATTTTTGGGGTTGAGAAGATGAACTGGCATTTTGCCAAGTTTTATTTTCCATTGGGTTTTACATGTGACATTCGGTAATTTTACAATTAACGGACGTTAACTCTCTCTATATTTATTATTTATCGTACTAAATCAAGGCTACAAAGTATTATTTGATGAACAATCTTTTCAAGTGTGTGTGTATTGTCATTGAGGGCATGTTTTTTAACAGTTAAAGAGGTAAAATAATTGTAAATAAAAAAAAAATAGGCTAGTCTAGGCCAGGCTAATTAATAATTTAAAAAAAATTCAATTGTACGTTTTTCTTATTGAAAAACAACTCCATACTTTAAATTAACGGTCTAAACTTGTGCTTGTCATAAACAAATTATCAAGCAATACATTGTTTATTCCAGTAAGCTACAGCAGTCTGTCTGCACATACAAATAAACAACATGCTTTTGCTTCGTAGATTCGCTTCGCGTAGCCGGCCTGCGATTTTTTTTTCCGTACGAAACATTTACATGAAACTCCACTCGGGCCGTCTCGGCTGAATCGACCCGAAAATCTCATTGCAGAATTCAGGAGGTCAAAAGGTCATCAACAGATGAACGTCTACAGAACAACCAACTTCTGAGAGAACGTCGCTGTCTGATTTTTAAAAACACATTGATGTTACCATGTTAATACCAATGGGTCGTTTAAAATGACATATAATATTTGATTAAGCTACACGAGTAATGAAAAGTGTTATTTTAACTTGAGTTACATATTATGACAATTTTAATTTTTTAGTTAGGCCTGGGTTTTGCATTAACCTAGGCCTACAAGTAGCAGGCCCGTAGCCAGCATGCTTCAAGGGGGGGTTCTGGGCGTGGGGTCCAGGGGCCCCCCAAAGGGCCCCAGGTGGGGTCAAGGGGGGCTAAGCCCCTGTGGGGGCCGGGGGCGAAGCCCCCGAAGCCAGAGCATTTATACGATTTTAAAAGCATGTACATGTCATTTAAATGCATGTTCATGTATATTTAAATACTTCTTACACAATTTTAAAAATAAGATAAGAAGACTACTTTTTCCAATACAGGATTTAGAACGTAAATGTTTATTGTGAAACAAACTTTTTTTTTTAAAATTAAAAAGCGATGCTTAACATTTTAATGCTACTATGTAATGTTATCTCTAAAAATATAACTGGGATAAAATTAGCAATACCCACTAGGTGACTGTACAAAACACTTACCTTGCACATTATGAGATCGCTAAATACCAATATTAAAATATTGAGGTATGTAAAAGGTCTTTGCTTAAAAGAGAAATATTGCAAATAATATTTTATTTATTGCAGAAATGAAGAAACAATAGGAACTGACAGCCCTACATTTTACTTTTTTACCAAAATAACTTTATTTTTTTACCAAAATAACTTAAATGTTAAGTTGCAATGGAAATATATATAATTAGGGCAAGGAAAGATGTTATTATATTTACAAGTTACAGAACCATGTAAATATACTTGCACGGTAATATTGAAAAAAAAACCAGACATAATTATTTATAATGCTACAAATGTACACGTTTAAGAACCAGTTTATGTAAAAAAAACTTAGCACAGTGAAAATAAACAATAATTTAAGA